ATATCATCAGTTATCTACGGAATGGAAACAATGTAAAACTTTAAAATAATGTAAAAAGTAATTAATTGTGTACCATTGTGGGCTTAAAGTCAACAACAATAATGTGAATTAATACCAATTCAGTTTACTTAATTAATTTCCATTCCTGACAACAGAGGAACAGAAATTTCTGCTTCCTTTTTCCATTTCCATTGGAAGTCGACCACACAAAATTGAAGGCAACCCAACAAATTTTCAGGGACCAGATTCCAGCAAACCAAGGATATGGAACAAAGAAAAAGCAGCATACTTTCTCTTTCCACCTTTCTGAATGCCAGAGGTGATTTGAAGAAGATCTTAAGCCACCCAAGTGGATGCCAGCCTCTTCACAACAGTGTTATTGGTTGTCCCTTTGGTGACAGCACTCCCCCTTCCCCCCGAATCTGGGCTGTCATATATCATTGTCCGTCTTGTTTCTTGCTTCACAGCCTCAGTCATGGAGCATCTCTGCAAGGCTTAGTACTGCCTGAGGCATTGCTTACACCTGGATAGCTGTTTGTTCCATTCAGTGGGTTCAGCAAAGAGGCACCCTCTTCGACAGCCTCTGCAAACCTCTGGCTTTCAAATCCTTCAGAGTTTCAGCTCTGTCAGCTTGAAGCTCTGATCTCATAAATTGGACTTGCCACACTTGCCTTCTTTGAGCCTTTCAAGGATGCGTCCTGACAGTAAATTTCAGTGCGAGAGTTTTCTGTCATTTATATTGTTGACTTTGAAAAAGTCCTTTTATTTCTGTCTTTATGATGTGCTCCTAAAGAGTTTGGCAAACAAGTATCAGCTTTTTTGATAAATGCATTCAAATACTTGCATAAATAGTTTCCTAAATCTTGGAGAGGTCTTGCAAACACATTTGTATAGGGGCCTTGTTCTTCTCCTTCTCACTCCTTAGCAGGCCTGATCCACACCTCTAAAGGGGGATGGTGAGTAATCACAGGTGGCAGCAGGCCCTTGCCACTGCCATTCATTTGCTTGTCCACTTGAATGACTGAGCAAGCGGTGATGGTGACAAGGAACAATCCCTCTCTTTAGCAGAAGGGGGACCTGTGACCCGCCAGATATTCTTAGACTTCAACTCCCATCATCTCTCAGCACTGACCAGACTAGTTGCTGTTGGGAGTTGGAGTCCAACAATATCTGTAGGACCACAGGTTCCTCCATCCCTTCTGTTGATGGTATAACCCCCTCTCAGATTAGAACAAAATGGCAGGTGAGCAAGTTTGGTTGGCTGCTCTCCGCATTCTGCACTTGCCTGTTTGCTTAGGCCTGCAAGCAAATGGTAACTGTGCCACCTGCCACCTGAATCTCAGTCTCCTTCTGGTTTGCCCTCTGATCCTGATAGCTTTTCAATCTGGACTCCTAATTCCTTGGTCGTATTTTACAGCCCAGCCCTGATGGTTGTCACACTGACACCATACATTTAATGCACATAAGAGTCTGGGAATTGCTGCAGTTCTCAGGATTGCTTGGGGGTGTGGATGTGACAGTGACACTGTATTTGGATTCATCTGGAAATCCATGATGTGCTTCTATTGGAATGCTTTGGATATAGTCAGTTTAATCAAAGTATTTCACAACAAACCAATATGCCAAAACCAATGACCAAGGCCCCTCATACTCATTCTGCAATTTCCTCTGTGTCTCACCTTGCTATAAATAATTGCAAATGTCTTATGCTTGGCAAGTGTGAAGAATAGTGCTGGCCCTATTATAATTTGAGAAGATACTGACTGCATCCTCTGTCAAGTTGGTGTTAAAAAAACACACACACAAAAAAAAGTTGCCCTGGCTAAGGAAGAATAGAAGGCAGTGAGCCATAGCAAAAATATTTTATTTTGGGCACAGAGTAGCAGAGGTTTGATGGGAAGAGGGATGTGAAGGTTACAGCCAGGATTTCATTGAAGGAAAGTTTTATGTAAAGAAATTATGGCCTGGTGGATACAGCTCCTCCAGTTGTTTGGGCGCTTGAAGTGATGTGATAAGGTTGTCCTTTCCAGTTTTTCTGATTGCCACAGAATCCAGTTCAAAATCCACACAATTCAAAGGCTTGGATTCCATGCCCCCCCAATGCTTTTTGAAGCACTGTTTATTAACTGGGGCATGTTCAGGTTGATATTAAACCTTTAAGAGCCAGTGTGGTGTAGTGGTTAAGAGCGGTAGATTCGTAATTTGGTGAACCGGGTTCACGTCTCCGCTCCCCCACATGCAGCTGCTGGGTGACCTTGGGCTAGTCACACTTCTCTGAAGTCTCTCAGCCTCACTCACCTCACAGAGTGTTTGTTGTGGGGGAGGAAGGGAAAGATTGTTAGCTGCTTTGAGACTCCTTCGGGTAGTGATAAAGTGGGATATGAAATCCAAACTCTTCTTCCTCTTCTTCTTATAGCAGGCATGTCCAACAGGTAGATCACAATCTACTGGTAGATCACGAGGTGTTTCTGGTAGATCCTGGTAGATCTTTGGCCCCTCAGTGATCTCCTCCCCCCCCAAAAAACGAAAAAGGCTCAACAACTCTGACTCCCCCCAAAAAGCTCCACAACTTTGGATTTCCCAAAAAAGGTCAACTACTGTGTTTCATCCAACGACAATGGGTAGATCACTGCCACTGTGAGTAGATCGCCGTCTATTGGGAGTTGGACGTCCCTGCGTTATAGTATCACAGTTCTTCATTGCCTTTCAGTTTCCTTTCAAGTCCACTTTCTCATTCCATAATAAAATGATCTGATGTAAAATGTTATGTTCATATTAAACTCAAAGGTGAGGGAATGAAATCAGTTTTGCATTTTGAAACATAAAGCGGCCAGGGTAGGTGAGGATGCGAGAAAGAAATACAGACACATTGTATATTGGCTAATATTTCCTCTGTAGCATGATAACTGGTTATTTTGTTTTATGTCTTAAGTGAATTCTGAGCCAGATAGACCCTCTTTTCACCTACTTATTATTCACACATAATTGCCTCAAACCACAATTTGTGATCTGGAAAGAAAAACAGTTTCTATGTTTCAGTCTACTATGGGTGCAAAATGGATATCAAACAGAAAATGGCATATTCTGAAACTTACTTAGATAGCTTCGAGCGGTTATTCAGAATAATGTCCCCTGTGAGGCCATTGCTGCACCTGTAGGCTCCCTGTTGCATCGGTACCCCATGGTGGATTTACGTAGTGGTTGCAGCCCTGCTCCATCAATCAGTGTTGTGCTGCTGCCATTTAAAAATTCTCAGAACACCCATTCCTCTAGAGCATTGTGGGAAATGAAAATGGTGGCCCATGATTTTCCACATTGCCCCACAGCAATGCTGTGTTGGGTGTTTTAAGATACTGTGAAAATTTTTTTAATGGTGGCTTGTGATGGGTTGCCATCCTGCTGGAGCATTGGAACTTAACAACCAGGTTCCCACCTCCCCCAGATTTTCTGGGTTTGTCTTCTTGGATCTACTTCAGGCATGTTCTGATAATCTCACCCACCATATGAAGGACATTTGGCACGGCACTATATATAAAAGGTAGATGTTGGCTTTTGTCGGTGAAAAACATTTTAAAACATTCTTGTTTACTTTTGATGGCTGTTCCAGGCAACCCTGAAATCCTTGTTTGAGAGAATGTTGTTAACTGTTTTTTGAATGCTTAAAAAAACCATCATTTTTTTAAAAAAGTGTTTTATTATTATTATTATTGATGTGTTTGTTGCCTTTGAGTCCTTTGGGAGGGAGGGAGGAATATAAATTGAAATAATAATAATATACTTAAAATATTTCTCTTATGAGTCATATTTGGTGTCTTTGGTAGAATCTCAGGAACACAAAAAGGTGAAGCAAATAAATACTACTCATAATGGACCCGTTTTTTTTTCTTGCTCTCTTCTCATTCCTTCCTTCCCTTCCTCTAACCCCTTAGTTATTTGACTTGTACCCAGTCATGTAAGGTCCCAAAGCTTCCATCTCTCCCTAAAGGAAGATCCAACTGTAGAACTTTACAATATGCTTAAGTCTCATGCCATCACTGGGCTTAAATTGCTTAACTGTGTATTCGATTGAGCCAATAATCTATTTTCTTTCTGGACTAAAGATATCATGCTTATTAAAAACTTATGCAAGTGCAAATGCTTGCGACGTGTTCAAAATCCTAATTAGTCAAATTAAAAATATAAACTGATCAGTAGGTTTAGATAACTGTTTTCTCCCACCCTGTCCCAATGCAGTTCCATAGGGCACTTCATACTTTGCCCTGTCTAAAATTCTTGGTGGACTGCAATTGCAACCCATTGTTTTGTTTTCAGTGCTGTTTGGTGAGCAGCTGATACTGTTGAAGTCCTAGGACATGGGCATTGTGTGACTAGCACCCCATAAACATTACTCCAGTCGGATCAGTCAGTTGGGTGAACTGTGAAGCAGGTTATTAGCTTTTGAAATGGACTTGAGTTAGAAGTGATTGAAGATGATTCAATCTTGGTATGGGATTACAATGTTCTGTTTCTAATGAATGTGATTCTCGCTGCCCTTCTATGTGAACAGCTATAGATTCTGGTTAATTGCATTTTCTATTGTTTTGAAAAAAAATCTAATCCAGGTTGTTTCATCTTTAACTTTTTTTTAACAATTCATCATCTGACATAGCCAACAATTTCCTTTGATAAATTCAAAGCAGTATTATTTTAATTTTCTTTTAAGAGAGCTACATGAATTCAGACCCATCTAAATCATTTCTGTAGTGTGCTGATGGCCACAGACTTTTGCACAGATCTAGAAAAGAAATATTTAAGTGAATGAGTAATGTGGGTTCCCTGATCTCCAAAATTAGTCACCTTGCACTAACACTTTAGTCACCTTGCACCAACTGGTAAGCAGTTAAGCTTTGCACAGATTATACACATTGAAATTAATAGACCTAATTTAACCATGTTAATTTCAGTTACAGGTAGGTAGCTGTGTTGGTCTGCCATAGTCGAAACAAAATAAAAAAAAAATCCTTCCAGTAGCACCTTAGAGACCAACTAAGTTTGTTATTGGTATGAGCTTTCGTGTATCTGAAGAAGTGTGCATATCTGAAGTGTGGTATCTGAAGAGATGCTCATGCACATGAAAGCTCATACCAATAACAAACTTAGTTGGTCTCTAAGGTGCTACTGGAAGGAATGTTAATTTCAGTGGGTCTGCTCTGAGTAAAACTTAATTGAAACCACCCATAGCCCAAGATCCCTACCTCCCCTCCCCTCGCCCAAAAGAAAAATTGTCTCTGGTAGTCAGAGTGAAGTATTATGTGGGGGGCAAAGAGCAAGCTCATTGGTACGAGCTGTGTAATAAGTCTGTTTCCTTGCAATCCACATAGTTTCTGGCAGGCTGATCATTTAGCTTTAATAAATGAACTTTATCTACATCTTTCGCTTATCCAGTTTCATTTCATTTACTCCTGGTAACCCCATATCAAAGTGATGATTAAACTGATATTCCCTGTTATTAATCATTCTGATGGTCCACATTGTGTATTTCAACATTCATTTAGTTAAATGAATTAATATTACAAACAATAAATGAAGACTGCAGTCCTATGAATCCTTTGCTGTAAATAAGCAGTGCCATTGTATTCATAAACATGAATCGGATTGATTACACTACATAAACAGGAAGGCCTTTCATTGGGAAGACCGTTCATTGCCTACAGACAGCCACCCAATCTTAAACAACTCCTCACCCACAATAATACAACAATCAGACTTAACATGGACACTGGTACCAGAGCCTGCAATAAACCCAGATGCCAACTTTGCTGCTGCATACACCCGGACAACACCATTACTGGCCCAACAACATCAAACATACCATCTCAGGACTATTTAATTGCTCATCTTCTAACATTCTGTATTCCATCAAATGCCAACAGTACCCTTCAGCCCTCTAAATAGGACAAACAGGCCAAACCCTACACCAAAGGATAAATGGACATAAATCTGATATCAGTCATCACAAGACAGAGAAACCAGTAGGAGAACTGGTTTCTCCAAGGACATTCTATACAAGATCTCAAAGTAGCTGTCTTATTGCAAAAGAATTTAAGAAATAGACTGGGAAGAGAAGTTGCTGAATTGCAACTTATTACCAAACTTAAAACCATGGAGAGACCTGGTCTGAATGGAGACATTGGATTCTTATCTCATTATACATGATAAAGCTATTTTTAGCCATCTCACCCCTTGCTTTTTCCTGTCAGACCAATTGCAGTCGTTAACAGTCATCAACAGGTTTACCACACCTATAAGCCAGTCACCCATTCTCACCACACTTCTGAGTAATACCCCTCCCCACCCTCTCACTATATACAGTGGTGCCTCACAAGACGAAATTAATCTGTTCCGCGAGTCTCTTCGTCTTGCGGTTTTTTCGTCTTGTGAAGCACGGCTATTAGCAGCTTAGTGGCTATTAGCGGCTATTAACGGCTTAGCGGCTATTAACGGCTATTAACGGCTTAGCGGCTTTAAGAAAAAGGAAACAAACTCGCAAGAACTCGCAAGACGTTTCGTCTTGCGAAGCAAGCCCATAGGGAAATTCGTCTTGCGGAACGACTCAAAAAACGGAAAACTCTTTCGTCTAGCGAGTTTTTTGTCTTGCGAGGCATTCGTCTTGCGGGGCACCGCTGTATAAGGGTCTGGTGACTTCTGTTTCAGTGTATCTGAAGAAGTGTGCATGCACACAAAAGCTCATACCAAGAACAAACTTGTTATTGCTGTTTAGTCGTGTCCGACTCTTCGTGACCCCATGGACCAGAGCACGCCAGGCACTTCTGTCTTCCACTGCCTCCCGCAGTTTGGTCAAACTCATGCTGGTAGCTTCGAGAACACTGTCCAACCATCTCGTCCTCTGTCATCCCCTTCTCCTTGTGCCCTCAATCTTTCCCAACATCAGGGTCTTTTCCAGGGAGTCTTCCCTTCTCATGAGGTGGCCAAAGTCTTGGAGCCTCAGCTTCACGATCTGTCCTTCCAGTGAGCACTCAGAGCTGATTTCCTTAAGAATGGATACGTTTGATCTTCTTGCAGTCCATGGGACTCTCAAGAGTCTCCTCCAGCATCATAATTCAAAAAGAACAAACTTAGTTGATCTCTAAGGTGCTACTGGAAGGAATTTTATTTTACTTTGTTTCAACTACGGCAGACCAACATGGCCACCTACCTGCAATAAGAGCATGAGAAGATCCTGCTGGATCAGACCTATGGCCCATCCAGATGCCTTTGGGAAGTCCCCCTAGCAGGATCCAAGCAGAAGAGCACTATCCCCTGCTGTGCTTTTCAGCAACTGGTATTGAGCATTGCTGCCCCCAACCACATGCCTAGGATCAGATTGCTTATATCTATTTCAGTATGACACCTTCATGGATGTATACATAAGGTATCTTTCATACTTACTATTTTGCAATTCATTCACCTTTCCTGTTCTGTTTCTTTGTGATATGGAATATCTTCGACAACCAATATTTTGCCAGCCTTTTGCAATAGTATTGTCCCAAGCCAAAATTCCACTAAAAGTACCAGAGGTCTAATGAAAATTAGAGCCTTTTTGTAATTTTGATCACAAGAAATACTATTACTAATGCCGCCTACCTATGTGGTCAGATGTGAAGTGCATGTTGCAGACAACAGCAGCGTGATGTGGCTTAATTCTGTGAATGAGGGGTTAATAAACCATAACTCTTCAGAGACAAAGCCCAGAGTGAATTATGAAGGTCATTTCCTTAGGTGTTGAAATTAATTGCATTTTAGCCAGGCTTTCTTTATACAGCACCTTACCAAGAAATTTTTATTAAATATCAATTTATGAAAGACTTCTCTGAACTAAAGGGAGTAGTTAACAAGGACAAATTTGCAAGACAGGCAAGTGCCTTATTAGAAGACTAATCATATCTTAAAGAAGATAACCTGTTGCATTTTAAGGAAACTCCTGCTATTGAATTGCCATTTTAATTGTATAGCTAAATGTCAGTGTGATCTCAGCCCAGGTGATTATTCATCCCTCTGAAGCAATCTTTGATGATTATTATCATATTAAACTAAATGCAGTGGCTTTAAATCCTAATTCTTATAAGATGAACAGGGGGCCTGGACCTTAAGTGTCCATGAAAACACTCAAGATCCACAAGAAATTTCTGCCAGGAAAAAAAGGGGGAATTTTTAATCTCATGCCATCTCCCATACTGCTCCAGAGATTTATCTTAAAACAGATTGTGGGAGTGGGGGAGACAGGTTGCTGCAGATGAAAGAGAGATAGGCTAAAGTTACTCCCCCCTGCTTTTTATGGGAATATCCTATGAACAGAACTCAACTCAGCTCCTAGCAAAAGCCTAGTTAGCACCTAAGCTGTGGCATCTGTGGAGACCCAATCAGTTTGTATGGTTATCCATCTTCAGCAACATTTCCATGTTCTATGTGATGTACTATTAGTGAAAAGTTTCAGCTTCATGCCTTGGCATCATATAAAGCCAAATCAGAGTGGAGGCAATTCTTCTTGCCCTCACTCTGGAGCTTTGTACAGGGAAAAAAAGAGAGGGATCATCATTCAGTTTCCAGTCCATATCACTTTTGTATGTATTTGTTCGCTTATAAGTCAATTCTAATCTGTTTCTGCATTAATATGTGCTGCTTCTTTAAACAGCAGTACACATTTAAATATGTATTTTTAACACATTTCTAAATGAATTGTAATACTTTTTAAAAGCTGAGAACTGTGTAACAACATTTCTAGAAGTTTGAAACCTAATGCATGAGTTCTGATATGCACATTAGTCTGGGAGCTGCAGATCAGGTCAGTTCATATTGAAGTTTGTAAAGAATAAGTGTTTCAAGTTCCGTACGAAAGACACGGGTGCCTGCCAGCAATTGGGAGCATGAACTTGACCTCTTCTACCTGAATCATGAAACAAACAGTGTTGGCAATTGACAGTTTTGTGGAACTTGACACACACCTAACAAGAACCTCCAGTTTCTGCTTGGAACTTTCAGTTCAGCTCTAATAATGATACAAAGTTCTTAATTAGCTATTTCTTGCCTCATATACATTATCTCAGTAATCTTTTCTTATAGCTATGTAAGGTAGATCAGTATTACAGTCCACACTTTATAACTTGGTGGGTGGAGGCCTGATGGCTTAAAACCACCTATTGGTTTTAGATGTCATTATAAACCATGGTTTACCATGATGTAAGTGAGCCTCTGTGAACCTTCGGCTTGTATTGCTCTCTCGTTCCTGCTCCTCGTTTGGTGCAACCGCAGGGAGGAGTTCAGAAGCTTCTAAAGTTTTTAATTAATTGCAGGTTGTTTCATCTGAATCTATCATACTGTGGTTAATCTTAACTACGTATGCTTTTAAACAAGCCAAATTAAAACTAAAATTGGCTTGTTTCCAAAAATCAGTTAAGATAAACCACAGGTTCTGTGGTTGATCAAGCAACAGAAACATCTCCCATTTTCAGGTGTGTCAGGGAAAAGTGTGTGAACATGAAAACCTGGTGATCACTGCAGTTCATTCCCATCATGCTATACCAGGCTTCCTCAACCTCGGCCCTCCAGATGTTTTTAGACTACAATTCCCAGCATCCATGATCACTGGTCCTGCTAGCTAGGGATCATGGGAGTTGTAGGCCAAAAACATCTGGAGGGCCAAGGTTGAGGAAGCCTGCACTATACCATGTTTTATTGTGATGTTTAACCACAATTAGCAAGTTCATGGATTGGATAAAAATTAAATCAGTAACTTCTTGGACAGTTGCGCAGTATCTGTTTTGCTGTTATGGTGCTTACTTGGTTATAGGTAAGTTGGCTTTGTTATAGTTAAACAAAGGTACAGGTGTTGAGTTTACTGCAAGTGTAAGAGTTCTTCTGTCAAAGTATTTTGCATGAATTTAGTTTAAAGATGGTTAACTTTGAACTTTGTCTATGGAGAAATCAAAAGTGTTTTATTTCTCTGGGTTACCCAGAATTTATAACTCCAGAAGGTTCGGAAATGCTTATGGAGTGAAAAATCCAAGAAGTGTCCCATAGGGAAAGGAAGGGAAATATTTTTATCTAAATCAGAAGTTAACACCTTCTGTGAGCTGACCTTTTAAGCACCTCTTCTAAGCATATGTCAAACCATTCACAGTCTAGAAC